AAAAAAAAAAAAAGGGAGAGAGAGAGAAAAAAAAGGAGAGAGAGTGTGTGTGTGTGTGTGTGAGAGAGAGAGAGAGAGAGAGAGAGAAAAAAAAAAAAACCACAGGCCCCCAAAGCCCCTCCCCCCAGGTCACATGGCCGCCAAGCCACTCCCACAAAGGAGGCCACACCTCCAGAGTAGGTTCGAAAATTTTTTTAAACCCACCACTGCCAGTGATCCACAACTATTGTTCCACTGGTTAATTGTCCTCACTGTTAGGAAGTTTCTCCTTAGTTCTAAGTTGCTTCTCTCCTTGATTGGTTTCCATCTATTGTTTCTTTTCCTGCCTTCAGGTGTTTTGGAAAATAGGTAGATCCCCTCTTCTTTGTGGCAGCCCCTGAAACACTGGAATACTACTATCCTGTCACCCCCTACTCCTTCTTTTCTCTAGAATAGTCAAATCCAAATCCTGCAACCGTTCTTCACATGTTTTAGTCTCCAGGCCTTTAATCCTCTTAGTTGCTCTTCTTCGCACTTTTTCCAAAGTCTCAGCAACTTTTTTGTAATGTGGTGACCAACACTGGATGCAATAAAACTGGCTATGCCTTACCGCAGACTCTACCTTTCCTTTTATTTGATAAAAAAAACTAGCTATCAAATTTTAAGAAGGTTCAGAAAAATTTAGAATCGGTTCAGAGAAGGGTGAAAAGAATGAACAAGGATTGGCCGGTAGCTCCTTCAAGAATAAATTAAGGGAACTGAGTGTATTGAACCTTGAGAGAAAAAAATGTGGGAGTGGGCTTGGGAAATGATGGAACTCTTCAAAGGATTAGGAAGGGGTCGTGCAGAATGCAACGAAGGCAGGGTTGGGCTTCAAAAATTTCAGCAATGTATTCTCTGCCTGGTTGCTGGGTTAGGTGTGGCCATGGTGGGTGTGGCCTAGTTGGTCTCCTGCACCGTGGTGGTGGTGGGGGTGTTCCTCGAGCCTCCAGGAGGGCAAAAATGGCCTCCCCATTTCTGGCCTTCCTGAACTTCCCTTAGTCCGATGCGTGTCCTGCACTTACCTGCATCCAAAACAGGTCGCGTGGGGACTCCTGGGGTGGGAGGGGCCAGCCAGCGGTAGGATTTGGAGGTTCTCTGAACTGCACAGAATCTTAGCTAGAGGTTCTCCCGAACTCCTACGAACCTCCAGCAGCCTCCCCCTGACAAGGCCTGCTTTCCATTGCTCCAGATTTCAATTCTTGGAATAATGATCTTATGTTGCAGCAGGCAAAATCTGGCTGAGTGTTTTGGGCATCCAAATTAAGAGCGCAATAGAATTGTGCATTAAAATAACCAGTAAGCAATTGGAGGCGGGTATATCACGGAAGTATAAACCTTCACGTAAATTAGGGCTGAAGAATGTACATATATTGAGATATTTTTCTATACTCCTCTGTCGTAAACGATCTGAGCTTGTTCATTTATTTCACAAACCTAGGGACTCAAGAAGCCATTGCTGTCTGCTTGCATGAAGAGACAAAGCAAGTCGTCAATGATAGCCTGTGTGACAGTTCAAAGAGACCCCCGCCAATGAGCCATGTGTGCAACACAAGGCTTTGTCCCCCAAGGTAGGACCTGGCTAATGCCTTTGTAGATGAACGAGGAAAGTTTATTAGTAGAAGATATCCTGTATGGTGCATAGCGTTGGGCTAAAATAAGAGTTCTCAACTGTTTTAATTCCTCTGTTTTGCTCTCGGCGGGGTGGGGTGGGGTCATTCCACAAAGCAATCCTCTTGTATTTGAGGGTGTGGCTTGCGTAGGGCTCTAATGTCATCATATCTTGGGACAGATGGCAAGTTGGACCTTGGAGACAATGTACTGCCACTTGTGGCGTTGGCATCCAGACGAGAGAGGTGCATTGCCAGCAACCTGGAGGGTCTGTTGATGGACTTGAGAGCTGCAAAGAGCCAAAGCCTCATTCTTTGCAAGCATGCAACCAGCTTGACTGCCCCCCACTTTGGCATGTTGAAGAATGGCAACAGGTAAGATGGTCTTGTCAACTGCAAAGGTTGGAAGACACCTCCCTTTGAATTAGATTTAATGGGAAGCCGTTGATCGTGCAATGTTCTGGATTGTCCCTTCTGTTCTGACCCAGGCTTCCCAAGATCATGAAGCAGAGTCCTCATCCTATTATAAAACCTCTTATTTAGTTTAAAGTGAATTCCTCTCCAGCAAAGTCCCGGCCAACAGTCTTTCATGAGATTTCACAACTACAGACCTTTATCAGGCTTGGAGAGTGGTGAGGCCGATATCTTCCAAATGCCACGTTGTAGCAGCAATTACTTGGCAAGAAGCCAGCAACAGATCTTCACCCTAATGAATTGAACCAATTGTCTCCTGCAAACTCCACTCCCCAGTTGCTCCTCTTCATTCCGCATAGCAGGGACCATTCACTGTCCACCTGTGCCTTTACTCCTGAGTCGGCCCTTGTTCCTTAGCTGTTCCCTTCTCCTGGCAGCTCTGTGCATGCGCACATCAAGAACAGGCTCCAGCTGTTCTTTTGCCTCACTGAAGTCTGACTCTGAAGGAAGCTGATAACCAGCATATGGTTCTGGCCCGCTCTCTGCCTCCGACACAGAGCCGTCCTCAGAGCCTTCCCCAGGCTCCAGGACTGGCCCATGTTCCTCCCCAACCTCCTTACTGTCTGAATCTGCCACCAGCTCTGCTGGCCATTGGCAGGCCACAACCCTTCTGCCAATACTTTGGACTGAAAGTCGTAACTATTGAGTCTGGTTCATATGAATATACAATCACTAGTAAAGTTGCTTCACATGAGCAATGGTAAATTTGTCAATGTAAGCCAAAGAAATAGGATTGTGTATATGAAGGGGTTTGTGCATGTGTAAGATATTAGTCTTGAACCCTTCTCTCTGTCGTAGCGTTGCTGTAAATGGCTCTCTAGAGCTGAGCTCAGCAGCTCCCGGTGACTTCATGGCCACTTCTAAATAGCTTTCTTGGCAGAAAAAGCCAAGGTTTTTTTTTTCCATTTCCCAATTTAAGTTTTATAGCCCAGACATTGTCTAATAATGTCCCATGCAAGTACTAACCAGCGAAGCTGGATAAATATCTGGTGAGAAGTAATCCATATCATGTTGTATTTTATCCCATGAGTGGGAATTAATAAAGAAGAGGAGGTTACTCTGTCTTCAGTTATAAGTGGAGAAATAATAAAGTTGGTTTGCTAAGATCAGAACTTGGGAGGCCAAGCGCTTATTTCATGGGTCAACAGAAAATAAAACCCTGTCCTATTTTGGGGGAAACACAGTATTAGACAGATGCTGCTGAGACAAAATTTCTGTAAGACCTTTTTTTAAAGTATGAGTTTACTCGCGAGATCCTCTACCTGTGTAATGAAAGGCAGTTTGAAGCAAATACTATTTGGTTCCAATGTAGGTCTGGCCTAAAGGAAATGATGGTCGTGCTCTGGGTGTGAGCTCCAGGCGGTATCATCTTTACGCGGAAAAGCATGGCTGGATATGAGATATTGATGGCTCCCTTTCTTCCCCTTAGTGCTCCCAGACTTGTGGCGGTGGCACCCAGAACGGCAAGGTGACCTGCCAGCAGCTGTTGATGGATGGAAGCTTCCTCAAACTCAGTCATGAGAAGTGCCCTAAACCCAGATTGCCCAGTTCCAGAGCCTGCGCAAATATTGACTGCCCTCCTCAGCTGGTGGTGGGGCCCTGGTCTAAGGTGGGTAGCTTAAAACAAGAGTGCTTTTAATTTTTTTTATTTATGCTTCTCTTCTCCCTTTCCTCTCCTCTTTCCCCCTCCCTCTCTCCAGTCCTTCCTTCCCCTTCTTCCTCCTCTTTCCTTTCCCCCTCTCCTTCCTTCCTTCCCTCCCATTTCCCTTCCCATTTCCCCATCCCTCTCTCCATTCCCTCCTCCCCTTTCCTCCTCCTCTTTCCTTTCCTCCTCTCCCGCCTTCCTTCCTTCCTTCCTTCCTTCCTTCTCATTTCCCTTCCCCTTTCCCCTTCCCTCTCTCCATTCCCTCTTCCCCTTTCCTCCTCCTCTTTCCCTTCCCCCTCTACTTTCTTCCTTCCTTCCTTCCGATTTCCCTTCCCCTTTCCCCATCTCTCTCTCCATTCCCTCCTCCCCTTTCCTTTCCCCCTCTCCTTCCTTCCTTCCCTCCCATTTCCCTTCCCCTTTCCTCCTCCTCTTTCCTTTCCCCTCTCCTTCCTTCCTTCCTTCCCATTCCCCCCCTTTCCCTATCTCTCTCTCCATTCCCTCCTCCCGTTTCCTTTCCCCCTCTCCTTCCGTCCTTCCCCCCCATTTCCCTTCCCCTTTCCTCCTCCTCTTTCCTTTCCCCTCTCCTTCCTTCCT